TGATCACAGCCAAGGCCAAGCCAATCATAATCCACAGTACCAAGTTGAAAACCACTGAATACTCCAATTTATACTTATATGCAAGGTTATAGGGATTTGGGGTGGTCTCTTGTTTTGCCTCAAGGATGGTCCTTGACTTCCTCACAAGCGATGTGTCAAATGATTTGACAGTCACTAACTCTACCACTGCGTTCCCACCGTAGAGACTGTACATGTCATCTGCAAACTTCTGGAGAGCATCCACAAGGATCTTAGAGGCATCCCTGAATTGTTCAGAGTCTTCCCCATAGCGCTTCCCAAGTTCATCCAATCCCGCCAGCTCCAATGAATACAAGTCGGGAGAATGATCCTTGGCTAGATTCTTATGACGAGCCAACAAGCTCGAAATATCATGTAGCACTTGCAGTTCAGAAAGGAAAAGCAGGTCAGCTTCATTATTCCTGCTCAGAGAATTGAGGGGAAGAGAGTCGAGGACGGAGTTTTCTTGAAACAGACGATTATGTAGTTGCCGTAATGTGACGGAAAGGTCTTCAAAAACAGAGTTTGCTTTCCCCACCATATCTACTCTTTCCTCACTGGCAGCCCACTGCAAAACCACAGGAGTTTCTTCAGAAAATAAGGAGTGGATGGAATTCGCAACACTGTCGAGACTGAAAGGAACTGCATTCTCCAAAGGGTAGGAGAGGGCACTGCCCGCGGGCAGAGCCAGTTTGTCCACTCCCTTCACTATCACCATAATGGTAGCCCGTGGCCGGTGGAACAGGTTACCCACTGCAAGCCCTGGCCAAGATAGGTCTTCTTTTACTGAGAAGCCCATGGACAATGCAGCCACGTCTGGGATTCGATCTCCTGGTATGGGCCAGTTTCCATTTCGGAAAACAACAGACCCTGGCGACCTTAATATGCTAAATTCATTCCCTAAGGCACCCATCACCTGCAAGGACAGGAGAGCGACAGCGAACACAGCCATGCTGCCACCGGGCAGTAGCGGAGAAAGGCCACACGAAAAAGGACGCTTGGACTCGAGGGAGCACCGCAGCCCGACCGAGTGACGAGAGAGAGGAGAGAAGAGGGAGCCGGAAGCTGCCTCAGAGAGGGAGCTAGAAAAAAAAAGAGAACTCAGGCAGGAAGCTGAAGGCAGGAAGCTGAAGGCAGGAAGCTAAAGATCAGCTTGCCTCAGCTGATGGGGGAGGAAGTGGGCGTGGCTTGTCTCTAAAAGAGACAGAGACCATTACAGCCTCCACCTCCCAAGTGCTGGAAATGCAGTCCTGTGCCACCATGCCTGAACACCCCTTTGGACTTGTACACCCCCCCAAAAGCCTCAAGGCAAAATAAGTTTTTCTTTGTAATTAGCCCGTCCCTAGTGTTTCCTGGCTTAGGTTCTGGGTTGACCCTAGCAGGGACCTGTTAGGGAACCTCCGAGCGCCTTTCCACTCATACCAGATCCTGCGCCTGCAAATTTCCAGGCCCTCGTTGCCTACAATTGCTTGCACTGAAATTTATGAGTGGACACAAATGTGTCGTTGGGGATCTGACAGTCCACTTTGGTGTTTTTAATACTTGGGGTATTTAATATTTTGAGGCAAGGCATCTCTTTCTGGGTCTGGCCTCCTTCCTACCTTAGCCTTCTAATTCTGGGGTCACACTCACACGTGTGCACCCGTACACGCGGCCCGAAACTAGCTTTCTGTTTGCTCCTGTTTGCCAGTACACAAAACAATAGCGTGGAAAGTATTGCTAGGACTAGAGAAGCCGGTGAAGGCCAGGGATACATCCCCAACCCACCCCTGTGAAGTATCTACCCTCTGGGCCTTGGGGCCGGAGCCTCATTGGAAAGGAATGCTGCCGGGTGTTTCCATAGCTACGCGTCACAAAGACACAGCTCAGAGGGTGGGGCTCCGAGCGGAGCATTTCTTCTGCCTTGTCGGGGCGGGCGGGAGACGGCCTTTTGGGACAAGATGGCCCAATGTAGTGACAAGGCTCCGTGCCCCACTGAATGTGACCCCAAGCTCCAGTCAAGTAAGACTGCCCACGCTGTGGGACTGCGGGGCAGGGTGTGCCGTGTGTGCGGTGGGGGTGTCTGAAGTAGGTGGGGGTGTCTGAAGTGCTCTTTAGGGGTGTTGCCTCGCTCTTAGAGGAGGGTCTAACCCAAGGAGGCACAAGTGAGTCAAAATGACCAGGAGTCCGTAACCTCGCTCTGTCC